CCTCTATTGTAGGTAAAACTTTACTCTTCCAGTTTTGAGCTATCAACAAACGGGCAGCAGTTAAACAATACAACATCAAATTCGTTTCTTTTACATCCAAATTATGTGTGATACCTAGGAGAAACAACTGAGGCAAAAAAAAAATTCTTCTTTTAAAAACTTGCTGTAGATTCCACCATAATTTTATCCAGAAGGCCTTTCTCACTGCTGTTGTTGATGGTTACAGTCACCCAACTGCTCAGCTCATCAACTACTTCATGAAGCTTCATATCGCTCATCCAGGCGCAAATGTTACTATATAAAAATAATTTAAGAAATACCCCTTTAACCAATAGTACTACAAACAACAACAACAACGGATAGTCCTATTGATACTTGGGGTTGATATTGACCATTTTGGGGACTCTGGTCTAGACCTTGCACACTTTTTGCAATGGAAGTATGTCTGCAGAATTTTATAAGAGACCCAGATAAACTCTTACTCCATCTTTAAATTCACTGCTACTTTTTACCACAAATAAGCAAAACAGCTGTTGGCTTATTGGTGGGTCTGTGCATGGGTATTTCTAGTAGTCTGTACAGGAAGCATGCTAAGAAAGCAGAATTCCTACATTCAATTGCAATGTTAATCAAGATGCTGCATCCTAATAAAATGAGATTTGTTTTTCCTTACCAGCATAGGCTATCTTAATTAATGTCCATTTTAATTCTGCTTATTAAAACAAAGGCAAAAGGGCTTTTGAATTGGCATGGAGCAAGAAGTCCATTTTATAAATGTCTACCCATTCCATCATATTAATCATATTGTTTCTTTTTATGTTGATTTTATAGTACTGTACCAAGTAATATAAAATGTACATACAATAGGTTGTGCTCTATAAATAACATGCAATACTTGAATTATTTGCTTTTATTCTTGTAGTGCCATTCAGTTGACAGGACAATCTGCCCCCCAACCTGGTCCTTTATGTCATCCAAGGGGTGCCCATCATCGCTGTACATCCTGAATACCATAGCTAACGGGTTTCTAATTTTTATTTTATTTTCATATTGTGACTAAATAATCATCTCAATCTTCTTTACAATGTATGTTTCATAACCATAGCAGACCTATGCTTTTAATGGGTACATCACAGCAGATTATAGTAGAATATATTACAATCTTTTTAGAGTATTATCCAATTCTGCCCAGTTCTATTATTGCACACATGCCCAAATATACAGTATCATCTACCACAACACTGATATATATTGTTGGCATTCTTAATTTATAAACCTTTCCATTCCATGTAAAGAAAACTTATCAAGTCCTTCTTGGGATATTGAAAGGAGTACAGAATTAGAATGCAGGCAGTTGAGATGCTGGCACCTCCTGAGTACTACCAGTTGATTGCATTTTTGTACAGAGATATGGAATGATCTCTAAAGACACTAA